CCTCGGGCCCAAGTATACGTATACATAACTGCGACCTCAGGTCCAAAATGCATAAAGCATAAACTGCGGCCTCAGGCCCAAAGATAGGTGTTCAACATTCAGGGATTTAAAATCAGGAACTGAGAATCATACTGCAATACATAATAGTAAAATACTGAATCACGCTGAGTTATATGATACTGGAATACTTGATCACACTGAGTTACATTATACTGGAATACTGAATCATACTGAGTTACATAATACTGGAATACTGAATAGGACTGGAATGAGACATGTATTCTTGAACTGGTTATGAACACTAAAACTGCAACTGTTTATGACATGCTGAGTAAGCTATACTGAGACTTCGGGGAATCAAACCCAAGTCTATATTGAATACGAACTGAGCTCATAACGTTCAGAATGAAAGTCATGAACGAGTTATGGAGCTAGGGAATAGAAGTTCTACAACTATTCAAGGAACTAGGCTTAACTGTATTTCTGAGGCAATTGAACGTTGTAAAAGAAACGTAGTGTAGGGAGAATCATTAAAATTCCCAAACATAGAGAGTTAGCCTCACATACCTTAACTTCCTGCTCTTGAGCATAATACAACGTTTGTCAACCCCTTTCAACTTTAATCTAAATCAATACAAGTCAAAGGGATTCCATATTAGCAATGATTCTCATATTTTGGTCACTTAAGCATCTTATCAAACACTTGGTGAAAATAAAGCTTCATAGTCCTTATTGATGGTGTCTCTACACCCAATGACCCATTCTCTTGTTCCTAGAATAATTCTAAAGCATCAAATTGCTATGTTCAATACCCTTCTTTATCACCCATAAGATAAACGATATCTTTAATCAATAATCAACAATCAACAACCCAATCCTATAAACTTTCATGCTTTTCTATCAAACCCATCAACTCATATCTCATGAACTAGGGTTTATAATCATTAAACCAATGTTAGAATTAATTAGAGGGTGAAGATATTACCTTTTTGACATTCAATCTTCTTGAATTCGAGTTCTAGGGTTTCTTCTCTCAACAATGGTGTCCCAATCGAATATCTAATGATATGGAGGGTTCACCCATGTTAATAAGATGTTGGGAAATTGAAATTAACTTAAAATCACCATTAGAACTTACCTTGGGTGGTGGAAGGACCCTTAAGGAGTTAGGTTTTTGAGAGTTCCCCTTTCTAGAGCAAGTTTTTATGTTTTGGGGCTGTGGGGGACGAAATATAGCTTTAAAACGACCCCCCACGCGCGAGTTCGCGCACCTGGAGGCCTGTTCGCGCGAGAGTTCGCGCTCAACGGCTGTAACACTGCCTCTCATGCGCGAGTTCGCGCACCTGAAGGCTTGTTCGCGCGAGTGTTCGTGCATACGCGTACTGTTCCAAAAAACGCACATAACGTTTTGCACAGAGATCCGTTCGGGCTCCATAATATATCGTTGGAAAGCTATTTCAAAGGCCTACAACTTTCATGCTTTAAGTGTTCTCAAATTCCTTAAAAAATTTCACTAAACACTGATGGAATATAGACCTTCTGCAAACTTAGTCGATTTTGTCAAATCTTATGCACCTCACTTTCCATGTTGATTTTGAAACAACTATTTTCACCCACAATCATCCCGCTAGGACTTCATATGTCTAAAATATCAAATTAATACCCATTTAACATATTCATACCTAATCCGAATGTACGGGGTGTTACATTATCTCCCCCTTGGGGTGTTACATAAGCTTTCGAAGAAAGGCTAAATGCCTGTCAGGTGCTTCCCGACTCCAAGCTCGGTAATGAATAAATAATTTTTCCACGAAATGGTCCCAATCCTCAAGCTGTTTGTTTCGAACTAACCAACAATACCAATCCAAAGCCTCACCATCCATATATAAGGAAGCCAATGACAATTTATGATCTGGAAAAATGTTATAGCGAGTGAAATACCGCTCTACCTGAAATACCCATGCCGCAGGATCATCACCGTTGAACCTGGGTATTTTTATCGATGTAGCTTCCATGGACGCATGCAACCTAGGGAGAGATTGAAGAGCGGTCCGAGCCATTTTTCCCACCAACTCCTGTAACATACATCGCATCTCAGTTATATCCTTGGAAAAGGAATCCTTCACCTTCTTCGCAGATTCATCAACGAGAGCTTTGAGTTTTACTTTTTGGTCCTCCATTGGAGACCTCTGTATGAAAGCACCAATGTAACAACCTCCAAATATGAACACTCACAATAACAGAAGAAGACTGATTGTTCAATTAATAACCAAAATACATAAGAAAAGTTACAAAAGGATAGAAGAATAGTAACCTAGAAGAAGGGGATGAGAATGCAGACATAGAACAGGAGATGAGAGGACTCAGACATTTTACTCAACAATAATCGGCTGCCTATTTTTAGCCTAAGGTACTACTATTTATTAATTCCTCATACCTCACATGTTCCTAACCCGGGTCCCACAAATAAGTTTCTAAGTTTTCATCCATGCCCTCCCAAATATTAACTACGTTCATAACAAATTACGAGCCTCCCGCAGAATGGATGGATTGGGAGAAGAGTCTTTACGCGGGTTATGACTCGAATATTTGTGAAGCAATGGGATTCTTGCGATCCGATTTGATGGATACAAGGCCAGGCTTGGTTTTGGGCATGGTTGCACTCATTGCATTGAGTGTGCCCACATCAAATTCAACTGCTGTGGTTTTGTTTCAGTTGGTATAGTTGGCTAAGGTGGTTTTGGCTGGATTGCTTATTTCTTCAAGTCCTCATTTTCTGATTTAATTTCTTCTTGGGATCTCTTAATTTTTTTTCAAGTTGAAGGTTGTAGTTCCTTCTTATGTACATTGATTCTGCAAGACTGCAAGCATTAACACAACATTCTCTATTCTTTTCATTCTTTATTGTACTGTATTTGGATGTGTAATAAAGTCCTGGTTTAGGCAATGGTTCTTTAATTTGTTATAGATAGAAAGATTGGGAACTTTTATCTTTTATACAAAGACACGGATTGTTATTATTGAGGATAAATTCAAATGTTCTTTTAACTTCTGGAGTATTTAATTCTATCATTTGCAATAGGTACCTAAATCTTGAGAAAGCATGCTCAAATACACGAACATAACATCTCCAAAGCTTACAGTCTTACTAGTATTATTCCTGGAAGTCTCTACGCAATAAGTGTGGATTCAATTCACAATGTTCCCCTTCTCTCTTCCTCTTTCCTAATCCCAATGTAATGGAAAAATCATAAAAGAAAAAATACGCAAACATATAAAAGTAATGTCGACTGTCAGTATCTATGATGGTGCAGAAATTCATCCAGAATTTAAATTCTACTAATTCAACCTTTAAGAGTCCATATTTACAATTTGTTGTAATTTTAAAAGATTTTCACCGTCGAATGTACTAAAGTCAGATGGACATATTGATTTAGATGAATCCAGTGCCGCAAAGTAACGATGCATCCGCCTTTGTGACGGTGACTCGAAAGTTTGGCTCAACCAGCTATGAACTAACAATGAATATTTAACTTAAAACTGACTTCGTCTTCTTCCTTGCGTCTTTTCTAAAATTTAACTAAAATCTTGCTCAAATCACATCAAATTTAAATTTTGAACTCCTTTTGATATTTTCAATCAATTGGAACAACACTCAATCCAAACAACTAACAAACTCAAAAAATTCTATTTTCGAAAGCAAAGCTTTGAATGACCTTCAATGGTGGACTTCTACTTTTTAATTTTCTTATTACATTGCAATCAGGTGACACAGGGAGAGAAGCAGTAATGGCGAACGTTCCCTTGAAGCATATGTAGAAAGATGAGAGAAGAAGAGAGAGTAAAAGCAATGGTTGTAAGATTTAACTCCATAGCTTTTAGAAGCAATGATCGTAAGAACACAACAAATTTTGAATTTGCTAGTGCTTTCAGAATATGTACAATATGGGTTAAAGTCAGATAAAACTTAAAAACATGAACCATTTTTTGTTATGGTGTGAAGTTATGTATCTTTTTCTTGTAATTCTTTCTTTAAACTTTATATCAGCCAGTTAATTAACTGCAAGAAACAACAGAGAAAGCTTAGAAATTTCGTCAATCAATGGACAATGAAAAGTTTCCTCGTTTAGGATTACTTTAACAAGGTTTCTTCCTAGGAAACATCTTTGTCACTTTGCGTGGTACGGCCATACAGCTCTTTCCTAGCAATCCAAATAAATACTTAATCCACCACAATATTAATTCATATCAAATTAATAATAAATAATTGCATGATTCTGTTGGAAGTCACTAAGAATAAACAAAAGAGCCGTCCTCGTCAAATCGCTTGAGGATCCTTAGATCAAACGTTTATTAATGTAACAAATCCCTTGGGCATTTATTAACTCTTAGAATCTACTCTTCACTTTTATTTGTCTATTATGGACTTTGCACCTCCTTTAAAAAATAATAAATAAAGTGCATAATTTATCATGATACTCATATTAATTGATGCATATTTTTAATAGTTTTGATAAAATGATTTGAAATGAGTAATTAATATCAATTGTCTTCTCTTGATATGCTAAGATTGACAAGTAAAGTAAAAATCTATTTTTAAAATACTGGACAAGTAAAAGTGAACGGAGTGAGTAATATTTTATTGTTATTTACTATAAATGGTAGACCCTACGTGAAATTAAGATTGTGACGACGGAAAACACACAAAGAACTAATGTCCAAGTGGGTACTAAATAATGTAAAGTCCTCCTCAAAGCCTGAAACAGTACAAATATAGTGTGTGTCTGTGTGTTTCAATTGAGAAAAACACGCACCAATATAATCTAGTGGGCTCATGGCTGCTGGCACTTAATTTCACGCGGCTATTCGTCATGCCTTATTGCTTAAGACTTTTAAATTTTAACATTTAGATTTAAAATATCTGTAAATACATAGATTCAAGATACATCTAACCATCAATATTACTCCAAACAACTCGACAATTCAAGACTCATTAATCCTCAACACAAAATTAATCAACCAAAATGGCAACAACATCAACTTCCTTCCTTACTTCTTTTCCAATTCTTCCTTCACCAAAAAGGTCACCAAAAGCTTCAAGAACTACTACGACCCTTGCAATGAAAACAGAAGCACATGATCAGAACTACTATAATGGTCGTCTTGTAGATGAAAACATGATAGTCCTTCGAAAGAGAATTCATGAGATGAAGATGATCGAGAGGAATTACGAGCCTCCAGCTGAATGGACGGATTGGGAGAAGAGTCTTTACGCGAATTATGACTCGAATATTTGTGAAGCAATGGGATTCTTGCAGTCCGAGTTGATGGATACAAGACCAAGCTTGGCTTTGGGCATGGTTGTACTCATTGCATCGAGTGTGCTCACTTCAACTGCTGTGGTTTTGTTTCATTTGGTAGAGTTAGCTAAGGTGGTTTTGACCGGATTACATATTTGATAGTATTTCTTAGAATCCTCACTTATGTTTTCTTCATGCCATCTCTTTTTAATTAGGCTTTCCAATATGAAGATTATAGTTCTATTCTTTTCATTCTTTATTCAATACTGTATATATTTGGATATGTAAGCTGTGCCTGGTTTTGGCAATGGTTCATTGTTATATATAGAACTTTTTCCTTTTTTCAAAGATACAGTTAGTATTTATGGAGGATTCGTTGTTTTTCCATCAACTTCTGGAAATGATGGAATGATAAAAAGGAAAACAATACACAAACACACAAAAGAACTGTCACCTGTCGTACTATATAACGGTGCCTCGATTTTTTTTTTTTTTTTTTTTTTGTCAAAAGAAGCATACTTTTATAAATTAAGTAGTCGTACAAGGAGCATTCATAGTTACATCGATACAAAAACATCGTTTGTTACCCATACTATCTAGAGACATAGTTTGTGGCACCATATGTAAACAAAAAGAAGTATTTCCCAGAAGATTCGTATCAATTTTAGGATGTTTGTAGAGTGTGCCACTTTGGTCTTCCATGTATTGAGCTTTTGCAAAAAGTGGTGGTTCCAACAGAGAGGTGTGGCTCAACCTATGAACAGTGTAATGAAGAATTCTCATTTATTTGATTTGGTAGGATGTATTAGGGAAAATAATATATGTATTACTGCATGTAACGAAGAATTCAGTGCTATTCTTATAAATATCAAATTACGGGATTAACAGTACCATAATTTTTAATATATGGATAAGCATGTATAAAGACAGAACTGTCCTTTTAAAACCTTTCCAAAATTCCAAAGAATGTGGATGGTAATTTTATAAACAAATAATTTTGAAAAGAAAACTATGTTGTGTATTTTATTTTTAATACACCAAACCAAACAGTTGATAAAACATATTTTCAGCATAACTAATTTCAGCATTACTAATACATCTTATTTAATACTGTTCTTATGTACCCTACCAAACGACCTCTTAACGTAAATATCGTTGAAGCGAGTATTAGTAATTGTTTACCTTCCCACGAGTGGAATTTATTCCTGTGATGACCCAAAAGGTCATCACTTGTTTTTAAATTAAATTCTGTGTTTCGATGCCTTAAAAACCTTTTTCAGCATCACCTCGATTTGCGTGCACAATCCGAGCGTGTAGCCGGAAGTCTATATGTGAAAATCTGTGAAAACTGATAAAATTTGGCTTTAAAATTAATTAAGTTAACTTCGGTCAACATTTTGGGTAAACGGACCCGGACCCGTAATTTAACGGTCCCAGAGCATCCGTAGGAAAATATGGGACTTGGGCGTATGCCCGGAATCGAAGTCCGAGGTCCCAAGCCCGAGAAATGAATTTTTGAAAGAAATTATTTTCTGAAAAATATAAAGGTTTTCGAAAGTGAAATGCTATGTGAAACCTGTGGTATCGGGCCCGTATTATGGTTCCAGAGCCCGGTACACGTTCAATATGATTTATATGTGTTGTCAGTAAAATTTGGTAAGACAAGGACTTGAAACAACGTGAATCGGATAGTTATTGAGAAAATTGGAAATTTGAAGTCTTGAGAAAGTTCATGATTTTGATGCTAAATTCATCGTGGTTGATGTTATTTTAGTGATTTGAACGCACGAGCGAGTCCGTATGATGTTTTTAGGGTGGTGTGCATGTTTGGTTTGGAGCCCCGATTTTAACATGACTTCAACTCAAAATCAATGATTTTCATGGGGGAAATTGAGTGTTTTGGGTAGAACCTAGATTTTTCAAAAAAAAGAGGATTTGGACCTCGATTTGAGGTCCGATTTCAAAGCAAATTATATATTTGAGTTCATAGGTGAATGGGTAGTCAGGTTTTGGTTCGAACCTCGGGTTTTGACCATGTGGGCCCGGGGCTGATTTTTGACTTTTTGGGAAAGGCTTTAGAAAACTTATTTCCATGCATTATAAATTGTTTATTTAGCATTCATTGATGTAATTAAGTAACTTGTGACTAGATACAAGCGAATTGGTGGTGGAATCACGAGGTAAAGCTATAGTTGAGGCTTGAACTGAGTTCGTGGCATCAAGGTAAGTGTTTGGTCTAACCTTAGCTTGAGGGAATAAGAGTTTAATCTTGTATGCTACATGTTATGTGTTGAGTACGACATATAGGTGTGGTGACGAGTATCTATACGTCGGTGTCGAGCATGACCGTGAGTCTTAAATTGAAATTTATTGTGTTATTGAGAACTACTATGAATGCCTAAGTTGTTGACTCTCTGTGTTGAGAAAGGTTTGTAATTATTCTCGTAGAGATTATTCATGGTTGAGCATTTGTGTTAGTTGAGGTAGTAGATATTGGAACAAGTTTGGTTATAGTTGGTTTTCCCTTGCCGGGATGTGTTCATTCTTATTGTTGACTCCCTTGCCAGGATAGTGTAGTTCTTATTGATCCCTAGCCGGGACTCTTGTTATGGTTGATGTTGATTGTATATTTGGATCGGGTTGCAATCCGCAACAATGACATATTTGGATCGGGTTGCACGTCATAACAATGATATATTTGGATCAGGTTGCACGCCGCAACAATGATATATTTGGGTCGGGTTGCACGCCGCCAACAATGAGATATTTGGATCGGGTTGCACGCCGCAACAATGATATGATTGGGTCGGGTTTCACGCCGCAACAGTGATAAATGATATGGATCAGATTGCACGCCGCAACAGTGTTGTTATATGTTGGGATCAGATTGCGCGCCGCAACAATTATTTATACAAAGTGTTTATGGATGGAATATAAGTTCCATGTTGTTTCGTTGTAAATTCTAAGTTGTCCTTGTGCCTTGTTCTTGATTTACTGTTGGAACTGATATACCCCGCAGCATGTACCCCCCTCCCATCTTTACTTGTTTATTTCTGTTTTATTTTCTGCTGCATATTATATAACTGCACAGATTTATTTGGTAGTCTGGTCCTAGCCTCGTCACTACTTCGCCGAGGTTAGGCTAGGCACTTACCAGCACATGGGATCGGTTGTGCTGATACTACACTCTACACTATTTTGTGCAGATCCCAATGCTGCAAATTTCAGACCGCAGTGAGTTTTTAGATTCCTACTTACCAGGCGACCCGAGGTAGTCCTGCAGGCGTCCGCAAGCCTTAGCGTCTCCCTCCATCTATTTTCCTGCTTCTCTTATGTAGTTCTAGAAACAGTATTTTGTTATTTCTTTCAGACCCTTATTTGTAATACTCTTAGACAGTCTGTGAAGTTGTGACACCAAATCTTGGGTGGTTTTGTTATGGGATGGTATTAGTAGTACTGTTAAACTTGAAATTTATTTCTTCCGCATGTTAAATTATGTTGCTATAAATTGTTGATGCTAGGTCATTAAATAAAATAAAAATGGAAAACAGGTTAAATAGTTCAGTTAGTTGGCTTGCCTAGCTTTCACTAGTAGGCGCCATCACGACTCCCGAGGGTGGGAAATCCGGGTCGTGACAAGTTGGTATCAGAGCACTAGGTTACATAGGTCTCACAATTCACAGACAAGCTTGGTAGAGTCTGAGGGATCGGTACGGAGACGTCTGTATTTATCCCTTAGAGGCTACAGAGTTAGGAAAAAACTTCACATCTATTCTTTCCTGTCGTGCGACTTGATTTCTCAATGCTAGTTGAACTTCCACTTTTGTTCCTTTGCGAATGGCAAGGTCACGTACCGGTTCTTCAGCCAGTTGGAGCAGTTCAGCCGGGTGCGGTAGCCCAGACCGGCGTCGGAGCAGCCATGACTGTCGATGCCTTGTGGAGATTGGATAGGTTTACTAAGCTCTTCACTGCCACTTTCAGTGGTGCATCTTCTGAGGATCCCCAGGATTATCTAGATAGCTGTCATGAGGTTCTCAGGAACATGGGGATAGTGGAGACCAATGGGGTCGACTTTGCTACTTTCCGCTTATCTGTATCCTCCAAGACTTGGTGGAGAGATTATTGTTTGGCCACACCAGCCGGATCGCCAGCTTTGACTTGAGAGCAGTTTACTTAGCTATTCTTGGAGAAGTTTCCTCCCGTTACTCAGAGGGAGATTTACTGGAGGCAGTTTGAGTGTCTCCAGCAGGGTTCCATGACTGTTACCCAGTATGAGACCAGGTTTATTGATTTAGCCCGTCAGGCTCTACTTATACTCCCCATAGAGAGAGAGAGAGAGAGGAGGTTCATTGAGGGACTTATCCAGCCCATTCGACTTCAGATGGCTAAGGAGACGGGGAGTGATATTTCTTTCCAGGAGGCGGCCAATGTGGCCAGGAGGGTCGAGATGGTTTTGTCACGAGCAGGCGGTCAGGGCTCTAACAAAAGGCCCCGTCATTCAGGCAGATTCGGTGGTACCTCGTATGGAGGCAGGGATTCGTATGGTAGAGGCCATCCTCCTAGGCCCTTCCAGTCAGCGCTTCAGGTTTCCCATGGTGCTTCAGGTGGCCGTGGTTCTCATACATAGTATTCTAATCAGCAGCCCTACAGTGCACCACTAGCTCCTATCAGTGTACCACCGCTCCAAAGTTTTCGGGGTGGTCATTCAGGTCGTCAGGGTCAGTCTTAGTTTCCTCAACCGCAGCACTCTGGCGGATTCTTTGAGTGTGGTGAGTATGGTCATATTCGGAGGGCTTGTCCAAGGTTAGTGGGTACTCAGTCGCAGCAACAGGGTTCCCGTGCTATGATTCAGGCACCAGGTGTTCCACAGCCCGCCCAGCCACCCAGAGGTGGGGGTAGAGGTGCTAGAGGTGGAGGTAGAGGTGCTAGAGGTGGAGCTCAGGCCACTAGGGGTGGAGGCCAGCCAGCAGCAGGCCATCCCAGAGATGTAGTCTAGGGTGGTGGGGCTCAGCCCCGATTTTATGCTCTTCCAGCTAGGCCGGAGGCTGAGGCTTCCGACGCAGTTATCACAGGTACGGTTTTGGTTTGTGGTAGTAGTGCTTCAGTGCTATTTGATCCAGGGTCTACCTACTCTTATGTGTCATCTTATTTTGCACCGTATCTGATCGTGCCTAGTGATTCTCTGAGTATTCCTGTTTATGTGTCCACCCCCGTGGGTGATTCTATTGTGGTAGACCGTGTTCATCGTTCTTGCGTGGTTGTGATTGAGGGTCTTAAGACCCGAGTAGA